AGTGCTAAGAATTACGATGCGTTGCCAATGTCCTGGGCCCATGTGGCACCCAAGTGCTAAAAAGTACGATTTGTTGCCAATGTCTTGGGCTCATGTGGCACCCAAGTGCTAAGAAGTACGATTTGTTGCCAATGTCTTCGGCCCATAGGGCACCCAAGTGCTAAGAAGTACGATTTGTTGCCAATGTCTTGGGTTCATGTGAAACCCAAGTGCTAGGAAGTACGATCTGTTGCCAATGGTTTGGGCTCCTGTGGCACTGAAGTGCCAGGAAGTACGATTTGTTGCCAATGTCTTGGGCACATGTGGCACCCAATTGCTGGGAAGTACGATTTGTTGCCGGCGTCTGGGGCTCGAACTAGTGCCCAAGTGCTAAGGAGTGCAAGAATCAGCATTCTTGGCAGTTCCCGCTTGCCGAAGCATGCGTACTCAGCCTATGTTCTCAAGGGCCCAGGGGAAAAGAAAGACATTGCGAGCCATACCTGCCTCGATTATCCAGGCCGTTCTGTGGCAATCTTTCCGGGTTACAGGAGATCAGAGCTTGAGATTCAGAGCGCTACTGCAGGCTGACGCCTGCATGGTAGCGGAGCTCTTTTGAGTTCCAGCGAACATCGATCCAGGGGCCGTAGCTGACCAGCAGTATCCCTCCTGGTCAGATTCGGGCGACAGCTGCATGACTTCTCAGGAAGCCAGCAGTAGCGGGAACAAGAGCAAGGACGGGGTCCCAATTTGGGACGGGGCAGCCGAGTCTTTTCAAGCCTACTATGAAGCTGCCCTGTTATGTGAACAGACAACTCCCTATCACAAGCGATATCTCACAGGGCCGAAACTCCAGAGCGAGCTCACCGGGGCGGCTCAGCGCCTGATCGTGGGACAGCCGTCAGAGTGGCTCTCCTTTCCTGGAGGAGTGCAGACGCAACTCCAGCATTTGCGGCAATGCCTTGGCAAGCCGCAGATGCCAGAGCTTACAGATCTGCTGAGCAAGTACTTCAAGAAGTCGAAGCGCAGATCTGGTGAGGCCATGGGTGAGTATATCACTAGAAAGTGTGAGTTGTATGTCCGAGCTCAACAAGCTATGAACCGGGTGCGGCCGCACCATGAAGGGCACCCGAGAACCTCGGCGACGCCTCAGGATTATGGGAGATGGAGATCCTGGGCCACATCGGGAAGGCGACAGAGTGTGGAGTCAGGGACCAGCGCGGTCCACACAGAGACATCGCGGAGAATGCAGATACACAAGCCGCCGCCCCAACAGCTCCCACAGAGCCCGCGGAACGAGGCTCAGACGATCAACCCCGCGACTGGTGGCGTCGCGACGGGAGCTGGGGCTGGCCTTCCTGGTCGTGGGACGAAGATCAGTGGAGCTCCTCGGACTACTGGGGCTACTCCTCAAGCTCATGGGGCCAGGGATACTCAGCCACGACGGCTCGAACTACCCTGCCAGAGCTGGTTCCAGAGTTCGTGCAAGCTTGGATGTTGTTGCAAGACGCCAACATCGAGGCCAACGAGCGCAACACCATACTCATCGCCGCTCGCGGCGACATGAGCTTGCAACGGGTTGCGCAAGAGTTGCGCAATCACTTCCCTGATCAGGATATACGACGCCGAGAGGGCACGAGGAGACATCAAGGTTTCCTTGGAGAGCATCTGGGCGAGGATACAGATGACGACGCAGCCGGGAACCCACACGGCACAGAGGCCTCATTCGTGGCCGAAGAGGAGCTGAATGAGGAGGGGCAAGCCTTGTGGTCAGAGGCCGAGACTGAGGTGCAGGAAGCCTTGGCAGTGATGGGACAGGCAAGGCGCACCTTGAGGGGCGCTCGAGAGCGCCAGGTGCGCCAGAACCGGCAATACTACCGCGGCGGCGGTGGCAAACGGTAAGGGGATTATCGACTGCGGGGCTACTAAGTCCTTGGGCTCAGTGCAGGCCCTCGAGAGGGTGATCCAGCTCAGCCGCAACGGGGTCCACAAGGTGGACACTATA